GAGAAGCAGCGCGTCGGTGCGAGCCCGGGATCCGAACCCGGGTCGCCAGCAGTGGAGCGCGCTCACTCAACCACCAAGCCACGGGGCCGGCCCAATGGGATCTAGTTCTTAATTCAATAACAAGCATTTGAGAGCTGAGGTTCATTTCTTTTATAGCAAACTTCAGTTTTCTGAATATTTCTTACTGAGGGAGAAGGAAAAGTATAGTTAAAACTTCTAATATAAACGATCTTAATTCTTGACATCAAAAACTTGCCAAAAGCAAGTTAAATGCAAAAAAAAAAAAAAAATTAGAACGAGAGACCTATGCATCAAATATGTAGTGAACTAGATATGAGTTAAAGAAAATATGCCATGTAAAACACAGAAAAAGTATGCAATGAACTCAACATTTTTTGAAGAGAAGAGAAATTCTGCCCAATTTAAAATAGTACAATTATAGCTTAAAGCTTTGCTTAAAAGAGAATGAACACACAAAGGACTCCATTCTCATACAGCCATATTAACTATGTATTTCTCTTCAACAGTGATATTCATCTACTTCAAAGCCTGGTGAGATACTCTGAATAAGGAATAAAATCAAAGGCCATTGTATTTAGGAAAGATTCTGAATATTTAAGTTAGAAAAAGTACAGATTCTCTTTGTGAGCTTTTGATTACATTTTATTCAAGAATGATTTCATTTTAAGTGGTTCACTAATATAAAACAAGCATAGCCTCCAAACGAAAAGAAATTTAACTGACGTGCAAAAGTGTGAGTGTGTATGTGTGCGATCCAATTCGAATCTAGTTAGAATCAGATTAATCAATCAACTAATTTAATCAACATCAGTAAGTTTCCACGACCGCAATTAAACACCTTCCTATGTCTTTGTCCATTTATTCCACCTCCTTTCCTGTCATGAGGAGAAGTGCCCATGCTCCCAGCTAAATGAATCCTGCCACTTTTCCATTTGATCCTATCTTCCCTTACCTACTCAGAGACAGTATTCCAGCAACTCTTACCTCTGTCTGCTGCCTGGACATTTTTTCCTCTCTCTCCTTATTTACTCCCAGCAGTACACAAACATGGTATCATTTCTCTCATCTGAGAAAAAAACCCTCTCAACCCCATTCCCCCATCTCCAGCTGCTGCCCTGGGTTTTCCTTTTTCTTTACAGTGAGACTTGTTACAAGTGTTGCTTAGACTGGCTGTCTCTTCTCCAATTCTCTCCTCTCATTCTTTTTGAACCTCTTACTCTCTTCTACTCCCGATCATTCCACTGAAAATGTTTTCTTAAGATTCCCACAATAACATTTGTGTTGCTAAATCCATCAGTGAATCCTCAATTCTCATCTTCCTTAACAAATTTGCAGCACTCAGCTCAGCTGATCACTGTTTCCTCCTTGAAATACTTTCTTGACTGGCCTTCCAGGATACCCTGCTTTACAGTATTTGCCTGCTGGCTCCTGGATGCTCCCTCTCAGTGTTCTTTGCTGGTCTCCTCATCTTCCTGACCTCTACACATTCAAGTGTACCAGGGCCGGATTCTGGGACCACTTCTTTCCTATCTTCTCTAACTCTAAAACTCCCTTGATATCTCAGCCAGCTTTAAATGTCATCTTTCCTTACATCTTCCACAGGAAACCCTCCCCCAAACTTCAAATTTGTATATCGAACTCCCTATTCAATATCGCACAATTAATGTTTCTAAAACTGAGTTCTTAACCTTCTTTTGCAGTCCCCCCAACTCCATTAAGGCAACTGCATGCCTTCAGTAGTTCAGTCCAAAAAACTTACCATTCTTGGTATCTGTCTCTCTGTCATGACCCACACCCACCTCACCAGCAAATCCTGCTCCTCTAAACATATCTAGCACCTGCCTGCTGTTTATCACCCTCACTGCTATCACTCTGGCCTAAGCTACTCTCAGCCTTCACTCATTGTTGTACTAGTTTTCCATTTCTTCTATCCTCTTCTACGATTATCATCCTGTACTCTATTCTCAACACAACTGCCAGATTAGTCCTGTTAAAACTTAAGTCAGATCATGTCACTTGACTGTTTAAAACCCTTCAACGGTTTCCAATATGACTCAAAGTAAAAGCTGAAATCCTTGCAATGGCCTATAAGGCCCTACACATGATCTGGCTTCTCTCTAACCTTATCTCCTAATTCTCCCTAATCTTCATCTTTCCAGTTTATCCATACCGCCCTCTGGGGTATTGCTTGAATACATCCAGCAATCTCCCATCTCAGGGCCTTTATACTTAACTGCTTTTTCTGCCCAGCATGCTCTTCCCATAGATGGACCTGTCACCTTTTCACCAATGCCTTTTCTGGTGCCCTGGCTAAAATCACAACCCTCATCCCTATTCCCACCCTGACATTTTCTATCATCTTTTCCTGGTTTATTTTTCTCTTTAGCACTTATCACTACCGAACATACTTTATATTTAATTTATTCATCTTCTTATTGTCTGTTTCCCTGACTAGAATTAAAACTCCACGAAAACAGACATTTTTGTGTTTTGCTCTCTACTGCACAGAAAAGTTCCTGGCACATAATAGACACTTAAAAACATATCTGCTGAATAAATGAATCAAACATTTATTTTGAGAATATTGGGCTTACATCAGAACCATCTAAGTATAAGATGAGTTCAGGGGCTCCTACCTCTAGGAAATCTATAAAACTCTAGAAAATAATCCATGGGTTTGAAAACCTGCTGGTTACTTGATCTGAGGGATTGAGTAAGGCTCACTTTAAACTAAACTGCCATCTCCCTTCTCGTCTTCTGTCCCATCTCACTCTATGGCAATCTCTTTTCTGAATAGTAAGAGAAGGCCTCAAACTTAGTATAATCTAAAGCTTCTAGATCAGCCTGCTCCACTGCCCCACCCATAGCTCCAGCTAGATAAGATCCCAAATGTTAAAAGCATCCAGCTTCAAGCTGGCGATATTTAGGATGAAGGCATATCTTGCTTATTCCTTATGCACCCACATTTAACAAGGATTACTACACCTTGGTGTATGTGTGCATGCTTGCTTGTTGATGCTCTAATGAGTTGCTGCATTTTATAATAAATATTAATTTTTAATATTAAGTATTTGAGGTTCTAGACTGAAAACCCTAAAGAATTTATGTAGAAAAAAACTTTCTGATAACATCTTTCATTATGGTTTATTATCATTACGGTAATAAGCCCAAGAGAGATATTCAACAAAGGAAATAACCGTATTTCTCTCACCTGGAGCTAACCCAGAGGGATCAGGCAAGTTTTCACTGTCCTCATCAGTACTTTCACCATAGGCTGCGTCTCTGTCAGCAGTCACTTCAGAACATGTTGTAGTTTCCCTAGAAACAGAGAAAGGTAGAATTACAAATTATTGGCTCACTCCTGACTAGGTATCAAATTCACCAGTAAGTAATTATAGAAAATATCCCTGGAAAAAGATTCTAGTTAAACAAACATATATTGAAATATATATGATTTAGATGAAACCACTTTAAAGACTATATGTTAACTCTCTTAAGAACAAGTTTCTCTTTTATCTAAAAATTTAAATGTGTTTTAGTGCTAACTATACTTAATTCTTATATCAGTTTCTTATCACTTACTATTCTTCTATCAAAATACTATTCTACCAAATTTTCTTCTGTGGGTCACAGAGTGTTCAACATTTTACTGACCTCAAAGCAATTCTGCCTTTCATTTAATCTCCCAAAATTCCTGAGATGAGTACCTTTAATCTTGTTATGAAGATAAAGTAAGGCACAGAGAGTTTAAAGGACTTGCCCAAAGTCACGCACTAATAGATATCAATGGCAGACCAGAACATCTGACATCAAATGTTATATTCTTTATATCATGCTATTGGTAAACCTGTGCTCTCTCTCAGACTCAGGGCAATAAATCCAAACCTATATCCACTAATGCCTAAAACAATTATAATTGTCCAAAGCCATACCAAGCATAAGTCACCTATAACTCTTCCTTAAAAATCAAGTACATCTAACCTCAGAGCCACTTGATTATAAAGTGAACCACTGCTTAGATATCAAGATTACAAATGTGCATCCAACGCTGTAGTTTTGTAGAAGAGGAAAGTTTGTAATTAATATATTTTAGTGATATCTAAGAATTAAACAACTAATACTTAGACAAACCTGATGCCAGTTTTATGATTTAAATATAGGTGACAGTTGGGCAAACGTGGAGAGATCACACTGAGAACTCTTCAGCCCACTGCATCCCTGTCTAACAGCCAGAGCATCCAACCCCAGACTATCAAGTGGTATCATGTTACTAGAAAGTTGGGACCTAACTTTCATTAAGTTTGGGAAGAAATTCCACTTAAATTTATGCATCTGTCATTCAAAGACAGAAAGGTAAAAATACCTTTCATGCTCGATGTTCTTTTCCAGTTCTTGAACTTCATTTAACAATTTATGTAAGCTTCTGATCTTTGCTTTCTTCTCATTCAGCACCAGAATAAACCGTTTATAAAGATCAGTCTCCACAGCCTCCTTAGCACTCACACATTTTTCAAATCTGAAATGTATATGAACAAATAAATAAATCACACAGTTTTGCTTAGTGTTAATATTACTCAGTCTAACACTGAAGATAATTTCAAGAAAACTTTTCAAGAAAAATACAATCAAAAATCATTTTTACGTGTTTTTGCTGATTTAAAGTTTTACATAGATAAATAATTAGAGCTTATTAGAAGTTATTAATGTTAGTAACCTATGTACTGAGATAAGAATCAAAATTGGAAACTGATACAAAAAAAGCTGAAAAAATTTAAATGCCTGAATGTAATAATTTATTCACATCTATGGTTTATTTCCAAAAGAATATTTTTGTGGGAGAAATTTCAAGCAAGAGTAACTAAAGCCTATGTTTCCTGTACTTTGTTAATAATAGCAACCGTGATCTTGTTTTGTGATTAGGTGATTTATCTAATCTGTTGCCCTAAGTAGATTATGAACTGCTCCATAGCAAAAACATGACTTACCCAGTTATATCCTTATAACCCAGCACTATACACACACACACACACACACACACACACACACACACGCATATATCTACCAAATGAAAGTATCCAACTTAAAATTTCCAAGATGAGATTAATGAAACAGCAAATGTGAAACACTACATCAGATATATAATACAGAACATAAAATTCTCTATCATTTATAATCCTTCCTAAAATGTTCAAATGAGTTAACAAGGGATTGTATTAATTTTAATCTCCCAGATATATATATATATAAAGAAAGCAAAACTAGCAGAGGTGCATATACTTAATACGTGTATACACCCTGAATAAACTACTATTTCAAAGACTCTAATATAAATTATTTCATGTACAATATTCTTTTAAATGTAGTCTAGTTCTGCCTAGTTTTTTTTTTTTTTTTGTGAGGAAGATCAGCCCTGAGCTAACATCCATGCCAATCCTCCTCTTTTTGCTGAAGAAGACCAGCCCTGAGCTAACATCTATTGCCAATCCTCCTCCTTTTTTTCCCTTTTTCTCCCCAAAGCCCCAGTAGATAGTTGTATGTCATAGTTGCACATCATTCTAGTTGCTGTATGTGGGATGCTGCCTCAGCATGGCCAGACAAGCAGTGCGTTGGTGCGCGCCCAGGATCCGAACCTGGGCCGCCAGTAGCGGAGTGCGCGCACTTAACTCCTGAGCCACAGGGCCGGCCCCCCCTAATTTTCTATTTACCATACTGTTTATTTATACTTCTGTTGTTCTATACAGGTATCCTAGTATTTTAATTTTATATATATAATTTATAATATTTTTTCAGTTTAATAATTAGAAAACTGTCAAAATTTTATACTTTTGATATATATGCTTTTGTGCTTTCAACAACCTACCTATCTAGAGATGCAGAGATGTAGGGCCTCTCATGGGATGAAAAGGAACATATGGCAATATATTTTCTGGGACCAATTATAGCCCCCTAATAGCATAGTCGTTGCAAAGCTGTGAAAACTGCATAAGGGCGGAGAGAATATGTGTTCTTTGGTCGCTTTATCCTCAATGCCTAGCACGGTATTTGGCCTTTGACAGATGTTTAGTAGCAATTTATTAGATAAATGAATAAAGTGAGTGAGTTAATATGGACATCTTACAAGGAAATGGAAAACTAGTGATTCTGAATATTAAATTTCATTCATTTAATAGCTATTCACCGTTGTAACAGTGATATTTTTCATCTTCGGCTTCTAAAAAAATTGCTGTAAATATTAATATAAAAGTACTCCTTTCATCAAACAAAGCTCTCTAAGAAAGAAGTACACCAAAAGGTGTGGGGAAAAAAAAAAAACAGCCAAAGTTGAAGAGGAGCTGCCAATATTGACGGCTTATTTTAAGCAGGGTCATGTCACTGCATTTATATTTCCGATGCAAAGTGTTATGTAAACATTATAAACATCTTTGTGTACTATTTTCTAATTAACACAATGACAAAAGTTTTTTAAAGATGAATAGAACATACATACCACTAAAATACCTGAGTATATAATAAAATACTTTAAACACATGCAAAGTAAAAACCAATATATAAAAATGTACAATAAAAATCTTGTATAATGTTATAATTTATTATACCAAATTTTAGGAATAGTAACCAACTAGTAATTTATCTGATTTAAATGCATATTTAATTTCCATGTAAATCACTTCAATAATTCTTGATTGACAAATTATGTGTACTTATTAACTATCAAGCAAATTTCTAAAACTTTATTAAAATTAACATTTGATATAACATGAATTAAAAATGAAAATAGGAATCAAAATGAAATACTGTTAATCTAAATAACTAGTGTCACAGCTACATTGTCAAAGGTAGCAACATTTCTGTGATAAAAAAGCAAACTCAATAGAATGAATGGCATCATGTGAGTTAACCTTGCTTGGTTTTAGCAAAGCTTTAGGATTTTGTTGCCACTAAACTTCTGATCATCATTTGAATGGATAATACTTCCTAGACAAAGCTGGGGAGTTTGGGTTGGTTGGGACAGAATATTATTGTGAACAGTTTCAGGATATGAATTTACTCTTAATTATTCAATATGCAGTAACTAAGACGTATATACTATCCCCCCCACCCCATTTTTAATGCCAGTCTTCCCTTATAGCATTGTGATATTACTATGCCTTCCATATGACTTGCCTCTTGGCAACTCTCCAACTCAAGAACTAGACAGGAATTATAGGAAGTGAGACCATTTAGTGGAGGACAGAGATGGGATTCACTGTTATGTTTAGTGACACTAAAGGAGAACTTACACACAACTACATTAGAGCACCACTAGTCCAAGGATCATCTCTAAGGCAAAGCTTAAACCTCATGAAACCATAAATGGCATCAAACAGGAAGGACCTAATGATGCTTCATCCTTTCAGCAGCGACTAGGACAACGGAACAACAATGCTAAGTTTAATTAGCAACCTAAGACTGAGATATCTAGGAACTTGGACCAAATGGGAGTAATTTTTAAAAAATTAAAAGGATAAAAACTAAATATGGAAAAATACTGATAATTCAAAATAAAATATTTCTGGGTCAGAAAACAAAGAATCTAAGAATAACATGTCAAACAACAACAACAAAAAATAAGAGCAGAAACAAGGCAATTTCATGCAGAAATAACACCCAAAATAAAACAACAGATTAAATGACAACCCAAAATAAAACAATAGATACATAAATGTGAGCATATGGTACTTAGAAACAGTGCAGTAATCCTTATATTTACAATCAGCTCGGGCCAAATTGATATCCAGGTCAGGGTCGTACAGCAAAAGAAAATCTGAATAGAGTTCAGAGGACAAAGAATACTAAAAAGAACTGGAAAAGAAAGCAGTGGTAAAGAGATTTAATAAGCCTTTAGGTACAGAAGAGAGTGAACAGCTGTTTCTCATCCTTTCTGATGACAGAACAAGAGGAAATGGCCTTCAGCTATACCATGAAGGACTCAGATTACCAATAGACGGAAGGAAGAATTTTCTGACTGTAACTGTTCTTAAACACTATAATGGGCTACCAAGGGGCGCTGAAGATATCTCTTAAGGTCTTTAAAAATCGGACTGAACTCATCTGGATAGAATGTGATCCTAGCTCGAAGGCAGAAAGAGGAAGCAGAAGAGCTTTCAAGGCTCTTCTATTCTAATGACTCCATGAGTGTCACCCCAATTCAATCTGCGGAAAACTGCCTCCAATTATAGGTTTATAATAACTGTAACTCAGAATAAAGCTGGAGAGTTTCTAACTTGATGTCTGAGTGCAAACAAAAGACCTATTCAGTAACATGGAACTTGAGAGTTGTTATTTGAAATTAAGTAGGAAAAACCAGTGAAATAAATATAGCTAATAACCTGAGGATTCACAGACATTATTTCTAATGCTTCCTCCTTTATTAAAACTATACAAAATTAAATTAATCCAGTAATGTCACTTGTTCAAAATGGAGCTAAGGCCACAATTATAAAACAGTAAATAAAAAATAACAGCAAATATATACGTTAAAAGTCTACACATTAGAGCTCATTCTTTTTCCTCATACTGCAATTCCTCATTCCTTACTCAAACCTCATTTATTCTCCACGGTCATCCCAAATGGAAATAGCTTTAGAGTTGGCTCTGCTTATAATAGCGATACATACTTAAATACCAAAATATATGCAAAAAATACCCCCCAAAAGTAAAGGAAAATTTAATTCACAATTTCAGACATACACTATTAACATTTCATTTTCTCTTTCTAGATATTCTCTATCTAAAGATATATTTTCCAAAAAATTGGATACAATTCATATTTTTGGTAATTCACATTTCTCCTCATAACATGTCACATTTTCCATTATAAGCACATCTGTATATGACTGCTTTGGGTTCATATAATAGTCTATTGTGTATTAAATATATCTCAGACTTATCTTCCATAGCTTCTATGGGATTCGCAGCCCCTATTTTGTGCCCCTGTCCCATGCAAACACAGTCTGAAACAATGATGGGCAAGAAATGATTGGACCATGGATGGACACCGATACAAGAGTAATCAGAGGCTGCCCGGAAAACTGAACTGTGGCCAGGCCTAACATGATAGTCCCAACTTTAATGATTCTCTACTTCCCACGTCCTGAGTTACCTAACTCAGTATGTTCTTGTCCTACTTCTAATCCCTCTCAAGACTCCCGATCAGTACTACTGCATTACAGAAGCTGGAGCTGTAAATCTTTTGCTCATTTTCCAGATACTAAGGCTCTAGAGAGGGAACACTGCTTGGCCAGGAGCAAGATGGATTTACAGCTCCTTAAAATGGACACATTCTCCTCTGATAGGAAAGAAAACCAAATTTGGGAAAAGATAAAACTACTAATCTGACATCTGGTAGATAATCAAGAGCCTAGAATTCTCTGGAGTGGACACTCTTTCCTCTCAGTTTGGAGGACCAACCCAACGGCACACATCTTCAGCCCCTGAAAAACGTCTAATCCAGTATTTACAAAAAAAGAAAAGCTGGCGCACAAAGAGGCAAGTGATAAGATACACGGCTGTGCTTTTGATCAAACAGAAAATCTTCTGCCACAATAACACAAAAGCACTTTCTGGACACTTCCAAAATAGCAAATCAAGCATCTGTGGGCCACAGATTGTATGTATCGCTCACACACACTGTTCTGCGGCACAGAAAGCATTTGTCTCCTCTGTGCTTCCTGCTGTTTTCCATTCCATGGCAGTGGCTTGAATACTGATGAGGTAATACCTCTTGCAACCTCTGGCAGACATTTTAAAGCAATTTGTTCAAGGACCAAGTACCCAGTCTGCATTTTTGTAGGCAATTTGTGGATCAAATTTCCTATCATCCTGAGGGTATTCTGAGTTTTAAATATAATGGTTTATCACGACCACGGGACATCTCTTTTAATTTGATTTATTTATTATATAAAATAGAAAAACACACCCAAGCTATAGATATAGGCCCCAAAACATGCTTTCTAGCACAGATATTTGATCTTGATTCATACTAACATAAATAAAACAAAAGTTAAAGAGAAAAATTAACTTATTTTTCTGTATGGTTTCCTAATATTTTACATAGTTTTGATTCGGTTTTTATTTTTATATAATTTGAGATAAAAATACTTCAGAGCTAAAAGAGAACAAGATAATGACTTTCTTAATATAATAACTGAGAGCCAAATATAACCAGGTGTTAGGAACTTAATTTTCTATTTCTGGCATTAATTAATAAATATAATTGAATGTATAGAAACATAATTTCTTTTAGTCAACCTCATTCTCTCATACATATATTAATAATGGTAAAACTCTTCACTATTTTTCATGTACTCCTCCATGCTTAGTAATGTTCATAAAAACAATCTCAAGGATTGCCCTCAAAAGACCATAAACAGGATAAATGTTCCTATATTTTATAGCTGCTGGTTTGAATGAAAGAGAAAAAAATCTACTGGATATACTGGATGTAATAATAATGATAATAATAATTATCATTATTATATACATTCCACATAATTCTTTCAGACACTGCAAGATATATACATACAAACATATGCTTATTACATTACATATGTCTCGGCAGAGATAGAAATGTTCACAAGAGACATCTTATTTCCTTCAAACATCTTTTACATAGTAGAATAATACAGCCTAGATTATGATCAAGTTGAGAAAATGCACATTTGAAAAGATAACTGACTTTCCTCTTCATCATTTAAAAAATAAGGAGCAAAATCAGGAAAATAAAAGGCTTTCAAATGTCTCATCCAGTAGTCACAATTACCTCATCTTTTAAAAATGCTGGTAGTATGAATTTCCAATCAATCAGGAAAAATAAATCTCTATCAGCAGCCAAAACACATCATTTGAAATAGTTGCCATTCATATAAAGATTCCAAATAAGGAATCAATTGTGCTTATTTATATTTCATCTCTTTTTTATTCACTACTAATCCTGTAATTTGAGCTAAAGTAATCCTTATAAACATCAACTTCCTAAATTTTGACTAATATTAACGAGTTCTAATTCTCATTGCCCAATTACTCCTTATTGTTTATAAGTTGCCACCAAATACTAATGGCCTAAAAGTGTTAATAGACTCCTATAATGCACAACAGTGACCAATAATTTGATTTAATCATATTGAGCAAAGGTACAACTAATGACAGATTTTACTTTGAATATGTGGTAGTCTACATGTATCTTAAATTTACAAATCATCAACTTAAAGCTACAATGACATAAAGAGCTGAGTGTTCTTACAACACAAGCTCATTATGCACACACCGTCCTTGAACGTCATTCCAGTCTCTCAGAAGCCTTTCATTTTCTTTCTGCAGGTGCTCATTTCTGGCTTGGCTTTCTGCGATGGTGTCCAGGCAGTCACAAATAAGTTCTCTAATGACCTCACCTGGGCTTACAACTTTCTCTAGGTTGAAGGAACCAAGTCTGAACTAGGAAGAAAGGAAAACATGATTAGCTTTGGGAGAATATCAAGACTGAGCAGCCCAGTTTTAAGTATACATAATTTGCTCTGAGAGGAAAAGGCGTAAGATTCAAATACAGTGCATTTACCAGATATAAATACAGTGAACAAGAAAACTGGGCAGCTTCCTACTTTCCCATTAAAGTTTATCACATAAATCAACATATAACCTAAGAATAATTTTTACAAGTGGTAAGTCCCTCTCCCACCTCTTAGCAGAGAAGAAAACAACATAAATACCATATAAGCACACTACCATCTGTTTGCTACAAGCTAATTTAAGTCATTCTGCTCAGATAAGAAAAAGAATTATACATGAAGATTTTTAATGATAGTTTCTGTTAATACTGATAGTAAAATGAAATAATTGACATAGCCAATTTCTGAAGGAAGAGCAGAATTTTGGTAACAGCTAAGAGAAGTATAGGGTTTTAGGAAACTGATAAACCCGGGGCACCAAACAATAACTAACTAATCCTTTACCAAAACCCAATAATTTAATACTATAAATTACAAATAATAATGTCAAGTGCCAAGTTTGAGTACTTTTACATAAAGGTAAGACTTATAAAAATATCTTAATTCCTCTACCAGAGGCATTTAAAAAAAAATATAATACAGTTTAGCTATAGCTATGGAATTCTGAAGGGAACACAGGTTCTCCTTATTTGGCAGATAAAGATACTGAAACATAGTGATTAATAAAGTTAGAATTATTATAACTAAAAATAAGATTTTAAAAATAATAATTATTATAATATAGCTACCATGTCTTGCAGTTGAAGTATAACTCAAGTATAGTGCAAATACAAACGCATCTAATCATTACCAAAACGCATCTATTATACCCATTTTATAGATTAGTAAACTGAGGTTGAAAGTAGTAATCTAATATATCGAAGGGATAAAGTCAAGATCCTACTATGCTATGCTGTTATGCTGTTTCCTGACACAAAAGGGTATCCTAACTAAACAACTAGTAAGAGGAAGAATTAGGTTCAGAAGCTACACATAATTCTGAAGAGAGACTCTAATGGCACTGAGTGAGTTGCAAAATTGAGAGTAAAACTGAGGGGTTTTTTTTGTTTTCTGTTTTTGTTTCATTTTTTAGCCTCCTAGGTCAATAATTTCTATTATGGCATTTATCTAATAGGAACATTTCCAAAATGTCCTGCTTTTAAAAGGATAATTCTACATAAATGTTACATACAGATTGAGAAATATTTAACAGTGGTTGATAATTGTGAGACAAATCCCTACTAGTCAATTTACAAATAAAACTAAAAGTCACTAAAGTAAAAATCCAATGTTTGCGATCTGAGTGGCATTTTATAAAACATTTCAGTCAATTCTGATAACTTAGGATAATTTGGATGTTTAATCCCACAGAGTAAACTTTTCTGGATGAATTATGTTTACTAATTTACTTTAAATTTCCAGATAGAAAACATAGGTAGGTGTCTTACTTAATATTTCAGAAACTCTGCCCCAAGGCTTAAAAGCTGACAATTCCTAGGTGTTGACAAACATTTATTTATACTTGTTAAAGTGTAAAGGAAAAGCAAAGAATATTTATGTTCTTCAGTATTATGGGCACATTTTAGAGGACTGAATATTACTGTTCTATCCACAAAGAAATTATGTATGTATTTTTTTTGAAACCTAAGCAGGTCAAAATGTTTGTTCAATCCTTTAATTTGTTTTATCTCACCTCTTCCTGTTTCTTAACAAAAGAAGTGGAATCGGGCCGCACGGTGGCATCGATGTTAAGTGCGTGCGCTCTGCTGCGGCGGCCCGGGGTTCTGTCCCGGCACGCACGGTCGCACCGCTTGTCAAGCCATGCTGTGGCAGCGTCCCATACAAAGTGGAGGAAGATGGGCACGGATGTTAGCCCAGGGCCAATCTTCCTCAGCAAAAAGAGGAGGATTGGCGACAGATGTTAGCTCAGGGCTGATCTTCCTCTCACACACACAAAAAAAGTGGAATCAGATTAAGAAAAATTGTCCTTTATCTCAATGAGTACACCCAGTTGTATTAGGCTTAAATGTATAACCTGAAATAAGCTATTTAAGCAATGTTTACCAAAAAAAAGACTTGGAAAAATTCTAAGAATTTCCTTTTTTTTTTTGTGAGTGAGATCAGCCCTGAGCCAACATCTGATGCCGATCCTCCTCTTTTTTGCCGAGGAAGACCGGCCCTGAGCCAACCTCCGTGCCCATCTTCCTCCACCTTACATGGGACGCCACCACAGCTTGGCGTGACAAGCAGTGTGTGGGTGTGCGCCTGGGGTCTCAACCCACGAACCCCGGGCCGCTGGGGCCGGCGAAGCGGAGGGCTCGCACCCAACCACCTGCGCCACCGGGCCGGCCCCCCAAGAATTTTTATTTATTCAGTTTATTTAAGACTATTTGTCACATCTGATTTCTCTTAAACCTAGAATCAAACAGCCAAAGGCATTTGCAGTTTTCTCATATAATGAAACATGAGTCCATTTAACAAGCACATAAGTTTAAATACGAAAGTTTTATCTATATAAAGAATATATAAATTGAAAGTAAATTTGAGCATTTACCTTTTGAAGCTTCTCTTAGTGTCAACAAACACACAAAAAAATAAAGATAAAGGTCACCTGTAGAATATTACTTTTTTGAGTCGATAAAAAGCCCAAGAAAAATTAAGCTTATTTTATTTTTAGATAGCAGATTATGTTATCAGTAAAACATAAACCCAAAAAGTGACTTTGTATTCTCTCATTATTACAATTGTCAGGTAGCTTTGACTAAGATGGACATTTTTAGAAAGAGTTTTTCATCACTTGAAAGTTTCAATAATGCCAAATTAATAATGAATTTGTGCCACACTTTGATCTTGAATAAAGTAATTGGTAAAATACTAATGGATGGATAAACACAAGTCCAGCCCCCTACCCTTCAATCTTAGGTGGCAAAGGAAGAAGGGACCAATTCTAAATCACTAATAACAAAGAGAATTCTTAAATCTTTTCTTGGCTATTCAGTACAGAATAAACTTAAAATGTCATCCCTTCTTAAGAGTAGACAATTATTTTTTGGTTTCTATTTTCTAATTTTATTCACTTAGTTTTTGGTCCTTTAATAGGTGTGAACATCTGTTATTCCAAACAATAAAAATAAACAAGAAGTCTCCAGAAACTCAATCCAAGAAAAAGATTTTACTTCAAATATTCAGATTATTTTTTAGACAAATTCTGGAATGTATGAGAGAGTGACTCTGCTGGCCATTCTGCCAGTATACATATGATTCAGAGCCAAGGCAGGAAGTACACTTCCACTCTCACTGCTGCTGTTCCAGCCTGTCCGCATGATTACAGATGCAAGGGGCCACATGCCCATAGGCACTGGACTTTGATAAGGACCTTGTATCAAGCCTAATGAATGGAGCAGCATAAAATATTTCTGTGCTCTAACTCTACATCTAGCTCATCCTTATACTGCTCCTCAAACGAAAAGTGGCAACTTAGGAAAGTGCTGATTTTAAACCAGCAAATTAGCACAAAAGCGATATTGCATGGTTGTGTCAATTTTTAAATCTTTTACTTTAGTTTTTGTTTGACATGTAAGGCTATTAGTACAGCTGTTCTTTATTTATTAGTTCTATCATTTCAAAATAATCGACAATATAAAATCAGGACTTCAAATCATACACCAGAGTCAGAAACCATAAATTGAAGACATTTTGAGAGCATGTCTGTGCTGATAGAGACATGGGAAAAAATAAATTTCTTTTTGTAGTCAGTCTCAAGATCTTATGGAGAATTCAGAGTACACAGACCTGTACTAAGCACCTCATTCAGTCTATAATTGTAGAAGATTTTAAGCTATGTCTTTATTTTGCTATGTAAAAAAGTCGAGAACAATTAACTTTTTAAATATTGATAATCATAGTAGGTTGCACTAGTTGGCTCTAAGTGGTTATCATTTTAGCTAGTAAAACAAACAAATAATAGAATTTTTGATCTGATCTGCATTAAAATTTCTCCATTTCAGAAATCATATCTATTTTCTTTAGCCAGGGCTTTTTTTATTCTGGATATCTGTGTTTCTGTCAATCCGTTAAGTCCAAGATTAAATGCCACACCCCCTTACCCATCACTTCAAAGCCCAGTTCTCTTTAACTACATTGACCTCTCTATTCTTAATACTTCAGAGTTTGTCTCATACAATTTTATACTCAGTTTCATCCTGCTTATATTTTTCTCTAGTTGTTTCAGAAATGTGGTCTTTTCCTTTAAATTTCTAGCTCTTTGAGATCAGAGGCCATATCTTACACTTTTTCCATAGCATCCACTGTATCTTGCACAAATCTGGACACAGATTAACTGCTCAATAAAAACTTGAATTTCTTTTATTGGAATGATCATTATTAATAAGGGAATATAATTATAATGGGGCAGGTAAAGAAAAGAATTGAGACAGTAATGCTCTGAATACAAATTAAGAAATATTTTAAGCAGTTTAAAGGTACAATAGTTTTATTTTATTCAATAGTATAATTTAAACAAAAAGGACATGGTTAAAAAATTGCATAATAGCACTTGATTCTGTGATAATATACAGGTTTGATAAAACCTAAACAGATTTGTTTTTTAAAGAATATATAGATATAAACTTATATACTCAGTTTTCAGGTTCTTTGGAGCAGCCAAACAGATAAAAGAGAATATAGAGTATTGGTAAAGTATACAAAATAAACTCCATGAATAACTACTAACCAATTCCTGGTGGCCATTCTGAATGTTTCTCGGGGAGAGGAGGATTATCAAGGTGTGAGTTGATAGTCTGCTTAGAGCATATCAACTAAAGGGTTTGAGTTTTGATACATTATCAAAGAAGTCTAAATAACCTTCAGAATTAATCTGCCTTATTGTCCTAGGAACCAAGACGTAAAGTTAAAGGAAACAGAGGAATAAAGATATCTGGATGTTATGAC